AGGGCTTAGGGGTTAGGGTTCAGGGCCCAGAGGACTTGGTATGTAAGGTTCCTTAAAAGGCTGCCTTAAAGGGACCGAAAGGGCATAAACTAATCCGACAAAAGGGTTTCGGTGGCAGATTCAGTTACGGAGGAACCGTGAGGACTAAGAGCTCGTACTATTCAAGCCCCGATACAGGGCCTACCCAATGCGGCTGAGGATTCTTCTGCACTTGGGGATCGGCGTGTTCGAGACTTTCTGTGACTTGGTTTAGGGTTTAAGGGTTAAGGGTTTAAGGTTTAGGGTTTAGGGTCTAGGGTTTAGGGTTTAGGGAAGAAGTGCCTTCCTGACGGCTGTTGGGGTTCCTTGATCTAGGGCCGGGTCTAGCCTGAAAGGGCTCGGGTTTCAGGTTGTGGCTTCGGGGAATAATTAGGGTCTATGGACCCAACGTTTAGCGGTTGTTGTTCATCCTTCCTTCCCTAATTGCCCAAGAAGTGCTCTAGATACCAAACGGCTTAAGATTTAACACGTCAAAGAGGCTGGCCTTTCCTGAACCCTACACCGAGAATCTTAAACCCGGCACATAATCTAGGGGCCTTAAAAATTAGAATAGGGTTTTGGGGGCTCCTTCTTATGACGATGGTAGAATATACCCCCAAACCCTATTCTAATTATTTATGCCCCTAAGTTGAATCCCAAACCACAAACCATAAAAACAAATCCTTGAGCCCTCTGATAGAGATCCAGGGCTCTTGAGACAGATGCTCCATCGCTCCTGACAGCGTCAAAGTATAGCAGTCTAGGACCGTTTGTACGTCAGGGCCTGACTTGGTTTAGGGTTTAGGGCTTTAGGGTTTAGGGGTTTAGGGGTTTTCGGCTTTAGGGCTTTAGGGTTTAGGGGTTAGGGCTTAGGGTTTAGGGTTTTAGGGTTTAGGGTTTTAGGGGTTTAGAGGGTTTAGGGTTTAGGGTTTAGGGTTTTAGGGTTTAGAGGGTTTAGGGTTGGGGTTTAGAGAGCCGGTACACCGCACTCTAGCAACATAAATACCACAAATCCCAACGACTAAGGATCAGTTTGTCAGGAAAGGCAGACTCCTTATTCAAGTTGTATGTCTCAAGGGATAAGGTTGGTAGGACAGAATAGACGGGTCCGAATTTCTAGGATTTGGGAGAGCGTTCTGCTCTTTTTAGAAGGGAACATCTAAGGAATTGCAGGGGAACTCTCCCTAAATCCCTGAACCCGATACTATCCTCGTATGTCTTGCTTAATATGTCGGGTTATTGAGCTTCTGCGATGCATGGTCTTGGGCTTACCCCTGGGGTATTTACAATCGAAAGGCTTATGAACTTATAAACTACCCTAAACCCTAAACCCGATAGCTATGAATCATAACCTAAGACTTGCAGCCTGAATGTCTGCACGTAGAACTGATTCTCGAGATTCAGGTGAGTTTTAGAGGCTCAGGGCCCAGTTTAGTGGCACGAAATTACATACCCTAGACATTTTACTGGTGAATAGCCTACTTTACAGCTAGGATCCTAGAAAAAGACTAGAGTGACCCATAACGGTACTACATGTCTTGGTCTAGGTACACTCT